ATAGAAATATTTTCAGAATATGACATCAAATGCACAGGCAACAAAAGAAAAAATAGATTGGACTACATCAAAATTGAAAAATTCTGTGTACCAAGGGCAGAATAAATAGAGTGAAAAGGCTGATGATGGGGATGGGAGGAAATATTTGCAAACCATATATCTAATAAGGGGTTAATATCTAAAAGATATAACAATTCTTACAACTCAACAAAGCTCTGTGTTATAAAAAACAAACAGGCCGAGCGCGGTGGCTCACGCCTGTAATCCCAGCACTTTGGGAGGCTGAAGCAGGCAGATCACGAGGTCAAGAGATCAAGACCATCCTGGCCAACATGGTGAAACCCCGTCTCTACTAAAAATACAAAAATTAGCCGGCCATGGTGGCACGCACCTGCAGTCCCAGCTACTTGGGAGGCTGAGGTGGAAGAATCACTTGAACCCGGGAGGCAGAGGTTGCAGTGAGCCGAGACTGCACCACTGCACTCTAGCCTGACGACAGAGCATGACTCCGTCTCAAAAACAAACAAACTAAAACCAAAACAGAAAATAACAAGTTTTGGCCAGGACATAGAGAAACTGGAACTCTTACACATCGTCGGCGGGGGCATAAAATGATACAACTGCTGCGGAAAACACGATGGTGGTTCCTCAAAAAACAAAAACTAGAAACACAGTATGATCCAGAGATTCCACTTCTGAGTATATTCAGAAGAACTGAAAGCAAGGACTTGAAGAGATATTTGTACACCCATGTTTATAGCAGCATTATACACAACAGCTAAAATGCGGAACCAACCGGAGTGTCTCCGGATGGGTGAATGAAGAAACAAAATGTGGAATAGACATACAATGCAGTATCCCCATCCTTAAAAAGGAAGGGAACTGTGACACGTGCTACAACATGGATGAACCTTGATGGTGTCACCCTAAGTGAAATAAGCCACTCACAAAAGAATAAATACTGTATGATTCCACTTACATGAGGTACCTAGAGTAGTCAAACTCATAAATAAAGGAAGTAGAATGGTGGTTTCTGGGGCTGGTGGGGAGGACGGAAGGGGATTTTGAGGTAGCTCACCCCTGTACTCCCCAGCAGTTTGGGAGGCTGAGGCGGGTGATCGCCTGTGCTCAGAAGTTCAAGACCAACCTGGGCAATATGGCGAAACCCTGTCTTTACTTAAAAAAGAAAATACAAAACTTAGCCAGATGTGGTGGTGTGTGTCTGTAGTCCCAGCTACTCGGGAGGCTGAGGTGTGAGGATCGCTTGTGTCTCAGGCTGGTGGGGGGCGGGGGTGGATGGAAATTACAGTGAGCCGAGATTGCACCACTGCAGTCCAGCCTGGGTGACAGAGCGAGACCCTGTCTCAACCAGTCAATCAATAAAAATATAAAAAACAATTTAAAAAATAAAAACAAACCCCAAATAGAAGCAACAGAAAGGTACTAAGCCTGTCCCCGAAGGCCATGTGACTCAGGGTGAGCACCCAGGGCCTGAGCCACCTACAAGTCACCTTGAGGAATGCCTGTCAGCATGGGCAGAGCAGTCAGGGCTCCTGCCCTCCATCCGCCCTGGAAGAAACAGGGAGCTCAGAGCTGATGGCCCTTAGAGAAAAGAGACACATCTGCAGGCACAGAGGCTCATTGTTTACATGAATAGCCACACATTTACTTTAATGTGTATTGGAAAAACATAATAAGCGTATCAAGCCTGTGATTTCATGGAGATTATTGCTTAGGATGAAGCTAAATCTAAGTGAAAGGAATTAAGGGGAACACTGGGAAGGCAATAGCAGGTAAGGGGAAATAGAGAAAGTCACTCAAGCGGATGGGAATGATTGCAGTTACAGGAAATAGTGACCTAGGGCAACCCCTCAGGTTAGAGATGGGCAACCCAGGCCCAGAGAGAGAGCAGGACCCACTCAGTATCCTACATGAGGCAGTGGAGGAGGAGGTACTGTGACTCCACCCTCCTGAAAGCACATGGCCAAGAGGCAAGACACGGAGGCTGATTTTCTACGAACCCCGGAACCACCTTCATCCTCTCCGTTCCTCTGCACAGTGAAGGGGTTCTGCAGCGAATAGCAATAATGCATCTAATATTAACTGTAGATAACCCTTACAGAGTTCTTACTGCGTAGCAGAAACAACCACAATGGCAATAATGATAGCGAAGACTTATATAGTATATACCTAAGTTCCTAGAAGGGCTTTGAGTGCCTAGTACACACTGCATAAGTGTATACATAGTTGGCCCTCTCTATCCATGGGTTCCAAATCCTTGATTCAACCAACGGCAGATCAGAAATATTCAGGAAAAAAAATCGTATCTGTACTGAACATGTGCAGGCTTTTATTTCCTTGTCATTATTCCCTAAACAATACAGCATAACAACTATTTACATAGCGTTTACATTGTATAGGTATTATAAAAAGCCTAGAGATGACGGATGATGTAAAGTATACAGGAGGATGTATACAGATTATATGCAAATACTGCATTAGTTTCTATCAGGCACTTGAGCATCTGAGGATTTTGGTATCAGTAGGAGGTCCTGGCACCAGTCCCCCATGGATACAGAAGAAGAACTGTATTAACTTAATTCATTCTCACAAATCATACGACAGTGTGGCAGCAAGCCTCCAAGATAGCCCCCATATAGACCTCCTGGGAGTCACATTCCTATGTAATTCCCTTCTGCATAGAATAGGGTTGAGCTATGTAACCAACAGGATATTGCAGAGAGGAGGGAGCATGACTTCCATGGTCAGCTCATATAAGACGTTGTGACTTCATTGCTTTCTCTTTCTTTGATCAGTCTCCCTAGGGAAAGCCAGCTATGTCATGTGGGCACTCAAGCAGTCCTCTGGAGTGAGCCACATGGTGAAAAATGGAGTCCTCTTGCCACCAGCCAAAAGGGACTTGCCAGCCATGTGAGTGAGCCGGCCCAGACACTCCAGTCCCAGTTAAACCTTCAGAGGACTGCGGCCTCACCAACATCTTGACTACAACTTCATGAGAGACCCAGAACTAGACCCATGCAGCTAAGCTGTTCCCCAGTTCCTGGCCCACAGACACTGTGAAAGATTATAAATGTGTATTTCTGTTTGAAGCTGCTAAGTTTTCGGGTAATTTGTTTGGCAGCAATAGGTAATTGACAGCATTAGGAAACATTAGCTAATGCTATCCATGTTTTGCAAATGAGAGAATTGAGGCATAAAAGTAACTTGCCCCAGGTCACACGGGCAACAGGTGGTTTAAACCATGGCCGTTTGGATCTATGTAAAGTTCAGGTAATAAATTAGAATCTCTCTTTTACAGGAATCAGGACATTTTGCCTGCTCAGAGAGAGAGGGGGAAAGGGACAGAGACACAAACACAGAGACAGTGACACAGAGAAGTGTGTCATGGGCTCGCAGTACTATGTGAAGGCAGTGGAGAAGTGAAGTGAAGTGTAAGTGAGGCGCACAGTGAAGGACAGTGGAGCGCGCCCTTGCCCTTGCAGCTCGGCTGTGATTGGCCTGGGGCTGCTGGTCTCTGACCCTGGCTGGGCTGGTGACTCGGCCTAAGGTCCCTGGCGGTGGAATCTGAGGCCCCTTAACAGACCCCTCCCTGGCTCTTGTTCCCCTGGGCTGACACTCTCTGTCCAGGGTCTCTCTGCCTCCACACCAGAGATCCTCCAGGGAAGAGGTAGAGTCTTGTTCATCTGTGTCCCTCACCTAGCACAAGGCCTGCCAGAGCAGTCTGGGTGAGGTGAGCACAGAAGGCCCTCTGGCCCTGGAGAGGTGTCATTACTGGGGACAGAGCAAGAACCAGGATGATCCTGTTTCTGACTGGAGGAGCTCCCACTGGATGGAGGAGCCAACAACGACAGTCCAGTGTGATCAGGGAGATTGGGACGCACAGCACCACGGGGGCCCAGAGGAGCAGGGAGGATCTCTGTGTAGGAGGCTAGAAGGCTTCCCAGATGAGGAGGCATTGGAGGTGAGGCCCAAAGGGCAAACAGAAGCCAACCCATGCAGGAGTGTTCTAGGCAGAGGGCACAGCCTGGCGGAGGTCTGAAGCTCCAGTTCCTGGGGGGCAGAGTAAAAGAGTAGATAGCGTGCAGAGAGTGGGCTGCTGGGGGCCAACATGGAGACTTGGAGTGGCAGGGCACCATGCTGACAGCAGATGAAATGTCACCTACATCTGTCTCATGGGGGAATTCATAACATTTGGAGTTGGGTGTAGGAGTTTTCTTTGGAAACTTAGGGTAGGCAGTGTCTGTAAGCTTGAGTCAGCCCAGGATGGAGAGAGGATAGCGGAGGACAGGGAGTCAACTGGGTGGCAGAAGCTGTACCAGGACCTCAGTGGCCATTTGGTGTCTCATGTTTCAAGGACTGGGCTTTCTCCCTTTGCCCCTCACAGAAATTAACCAGTTTATGTGCCCTGAAAAATTCCCACTTCCACCCTCTGGGTTCCCACGCAGGCTTCGTCATTTCCTAGCTGTGTGACCGCTCTGCTGTTTAGTTTACCCATCTATAAAATAGGATAAACACAAAACCTGCCTCATAAAGATGTCATAAGGATTAAACAGGAAAAAGAATTTAAGCTGGGTGCTGTGGCTCACGTCTGTAATCCCAGCACTTTGGGAGGCCAAGGCGGGCAGATCACCTGAGGTCAGGAGATCGAGACCAGCCTGGGCAATGTGGTGAAACCCCATCTCTACTAAAAATGCCAAAATTGGCTGGGCGTGGTGACAGGCGCCTGTAATACCAGCTACCCCAGAGGCTGAGGGAGGAGAATTGCTTGAACCCAGGACATGGAGGTTGCAGTGAGCCGAGATGGCGCCACTGCACTCCAGCCTGGGTGACAGAGAGACTCCTCAAAATAAAATAAAATAAAATAAAAAAGTAAAACATTTAGAATGGTGCCTGACCCCCAGCAAGTATACAATCAATATTAGCTATTGCTATTATTTTATGCAGTTTTCTTTTAACTTTTTCAAGCACACGTAGCTTACCTAATGCTTGCTATGTGTCAGGCCTTGTATTTATCTTCCGAAGACAAAGATGAGGAAGACGCAGTCCTCCTAGGGGTACAAAAACCTTCAATAAAGACAGAAACAAGCATTGGTCAAATGTGCCCTGTGCCAAGAATCCAAGAATGCAGGCGAGCGGGCTCCTGTCCTCCGGGAGCCCGCAGAGTGACTAGGCAGACAATTGCATAAGCAGACCCAGGCAACACAGGGTGGTCAGGGCTGTGACAAAGGGAAGCCCAGGGAATGCAGGGGCCCAGGGAAGTGGCCTAAAGTGGATAGAGGCTGAGAGGAGCCAGGGGGACCTCTGCTGAGGGGGCTGCTGAGATACAAGGAGTTGCCCACTTTGGCAACTGGCTGTGTGTTGACAGTATGAGCAAGGACTCCCTTGAGGAGGTGGGAGGGTGCCTGGGCTCAGTCTTGGTTCTGAGTATTAGAAAGCCATCAGAGGTTTGTGAACAGGGAATTGTGTTTGAATAATAGTAACAATAACTAACATTTATCATGCACCTACTATCTACTGTATGCTGTACATATACAATCTTATCTAATATCCTCACCACAACCCCGTGAGGTGAGTAATATCACCTTTCTCCTTTTTCAGGTTTAGAAACTGAGCCACAGGGTTTGAGTTGCCCAAGTTCACATAACTAGAAAGGTAAAGAACAGACTGAAACCCAGGCAGTCTGACCCACAGGCAGGCACTCTTCATCTTTCCACCTGCTGCCTCTATACTTCAGCCCACACACTAATCTTACAGTTGGAATGAATTTCAGAAATTCCTTATCTCTTCCATTTCCCAGACGAGTAAGTGAGACTCGGAGATAGGATTGACCTCCCTACGACCACTGAGTGGAAGAGGAGGAGGGACTGAGCTAGATCGGTGAGTTTAGGGGGCAGGACGGGCTTCTATCTTGGTCCCACAGTCCCCGGCACCTTTGTGCTTGACACAGAGTCCAAACTCTTGGCTGTGGCCTACAGAGCCCTGGTAATCAGAGCCTTGCCAACTCCCTCTAGCCTCACCTGAGGCACCCACTCCTTCGCTGTCATCAGGCCCCAGCCCACCTTGAGGCCTCTGCATTGCCGTTCCCTCTGCCAGGAATGCCCTTCCCTCGATCTTCATGGGTCAGGATCCATCTTGCCATTCAGTGAAATGTCACCTCCTTTTACATGATCACCTTCTCTACAGTTACCCCATTGCTTTCACATCTGTCTGTTTTGTTTTTCTCGTTGAAGTTATGATGACCTGAAATAATCTTTTGTTTTCCTCATTCTGTGTGTATCTCTTCCAACTAAAACATAGCTGCAGGGGAGCAGGGAGGAACCTTACTGTTTCCACACTGTATCCTTGAGCCTTGAACGGTGTTTGGCACATGTAGGTGAAAGTATGCCTGCATTTCATTGTCTGTATGCTAATGGTCTGTCTCTCCACTGGTCAGGGACCTCTCTGGGGCTGGCACCACGTCTGATTCACCTTGGTACCCCGTCTGATTCACCTTTGCACCCACAGGCCCAGCACAGGGTTGGCCCAGAACAGGGCCTGAAGTGCTTGCTGAATGACTGAATGAACAAGGGACAGAAGGGGTGATGATGGCAGGAGCACCGTGCTGGGCTCTCTGGGGAGTCTAAACCCCTTTCTGGTGGGGTGGCTGAGCCGCCAATGCCCTGGAATCTCATTCTCTAAAGAAGGTTGTGTGGGTTGGACCCAGCTAACAAGCCTGCAGCTGAAATCGAATCCCAGCTCTACTCTCTGCACCATTCTCCCCAGCGTGGGTGAGGTGGGCTGCAGCCCTCCAGAGGAGGAGGTGCTTTCCCCTTCCAGCAGAGGACAGCAGAGGAGGACAGCATGGGCCTAATCGCACGTGCCCTAGTTGCAGGGATGGCATCCCTTCTGTGCCCCGCCCCCCCCCATCTCGTCTTTCTCCATTGCAGCGAAGAGTCCTGGATTCCTCGTCGTCCCTGCGGGGCCCCCTGATTGCCCCTCTGCCTAGGTCCCTGGAGCCCACGACGATGAATAGTCTGTGCACCAGGCCCAAGCCACCTGCCTTACATCCCCTCCCATGATCACATGAGCGTACAACATGCACAGATGCACATGGGCACTGAAACGAAACCAGCCACAAGGATCTATAATATCCCAGCCGGAGTCCATGACAGGTGCAGAGGTCCAGCCCTGCGCCCCCAGGTTCTCCCTGCTCATCCACATCTTGGTACCCCACCCCCATCCCTTCCTCGTCCGCCCCACGCATACACTGCACAGGCCTGTGCGCCCTGGAACATCATTTCCCCTCCTGCCCAGGCTCACTCCTAGACATCTCTCGGCCTCTGATCTGCCTGTCACCTCCTCCAGGAAGCCTCTGCTGATTCCTCTGGACCTGCTACCTCCGGGGGTCAGGGGCTCGCCTGGCCCATCCCCGCGTCTACAGAGCCCAGCCCTCAGGCGAGCCCCAAACAGGGCCGTGGAGCGCCGGCTGAGGGAAGAGTGGACCAAGGACAGGCGGGAGGAGGACGAGGAGGCGGCGGCAGGGAGAGCGTGGGGCGGAGGCGGCAGCGGGAGGGAGCGCGCGCGCCGGCGGCGGCCGCCCAGGGCCGGGGCCGCGCGCCCAGCCTGAGCCCGCCCCGCAGCCGAGCGTCACCGAACCTGCTTGAAATGCAGCCGAGGAGCCGGGGCGGGCGGCAGCGGCGGCGGGGGCAGCGGCAGACCCGGCGCCACGGCAAGGACTCGGAGAGCTGAGGGGCGGCGGCGGCTGCGGCGGCGCGGGGAGCCCGGGGCCCGCCATGGGCCGCCCCGAGCGGGGCGCGCTCCGGCCGCTGGCGCTGCTGGCGCTGCTGCTGCTGCTGCGGCTCCAGCATCTCGCAGCGGCGGCGGCGGCTGATCCGGTGCTCGGCGGCCAAGGTGCGTGCGGCCGGTCCCAGGCTCGGCTCTGAGCCGCCCCGGCCGCCAACAAAGCGCGGCCCGGAGGTCCGGGATGGGGCGGGGCGGGGCGGGGCGCGAACCCTGGGCTGTTGGGGGCGCCAGGCAAGACAGGCTCCCCGCGACGGAGCTATTCCTGAATTTGCCCTCGGCCCCCCCGCACCCTCGGGCCTCAGTGATGAGGGCTCTGCCCTCGGGGCAGAGGCTCTTGGGGGAGGGGTGCAGGGGGCTTGGCCGGCGGGGAACTTTGCGGGAGGGGCGACTGTTCATGGTTCCGGATGAGCTCTGTGGTTCTCGCCGTAGGGGTTTATTTGACACGCGCGCTTCGCGGCGGTAATGAGCGGAGCCAGGCGGCTGCTCCGCTTGACAATGCGTTTCTGCAGACCCCTGCGCGCGGCGGAGGGAGAGGGACTGCCTGCCAGGGGCATGTGCCCGCGGCTCCCAGTGCGCGTGGCGCGCGGGTGCGGGGGCTCCCTATGGACTGTATCTGCGCGGATCCGTGACTATGGGTCGTGTGTGCGGGTGAGTGCGTCTGAATGGAGAGTATGCCCTAGTCGTGTGATGCTGTAAGGAGGTGCCTGGTCTCTTCGTGCCACCCAGCGGCCCTTCATCCACCGACTCCCTGCCATCGTTCCCTCCCTTTGGGTCGAGTGTCCCCGAAGCTCCTGGAGTCTCCATAATCGTCCCCTTTCCGCTTCCCCAGCGGACCCTTCCGGGTGGCAGGGGCTGCAAGGTGGGGAGCGGGGCCGAGTCCGCTGATCTAGCTCACGCTCCCTCCCCACGCAGGGCCGGCCAAGGAGTGCGAAGAGGACCAATTCCGGTGCCGAAATGAGCGCTGCATCCCCTCTGTGTGGAGATGCGACGAGGACGATGACTGCTCGGACCACAGCGACGAGGACGACTGCCGTGAGTGGCGGGCCCGGGAGCTCAGACCCGGGGAGAGAAGACTAACGGTGCCGGGCACCGCGCTCGGCGCGCACGTGGCTGCAACCGCGGCGCTGCCACCTGCGCGGGCCTTGTCGCCAGAGCCTGCTACCGGGAAACCGCCTGAGCACCGCCTCCCTCAGGGCTGGGTGGCTCTTAGCTACCCGGAGGGGGTAGGAAAGCTGGCATGTCCTGGTGGGGCCGGGGGCGGAGCCCCAGGCGGAGTGCCGGGGGAGGAGGGCTCACCATGCTGGGAGGCTGGGCCGGAGCTGTGGGCGGGGACGCGGCAATCCCTACAAAGGTCTAGCTTCCCGCGACACGGCCCTTTCAGACTCCTGCCTCGGCCCCGCGGGACGCGCGCGTGTTTCAAAGTTCCACGCAGCTGCGGGCAATACTGCGCTCCTTTCCATGCTCGGTTTTTGTGAATGAATGGGCTCCTCAGGGCCCCTGATTGGCTGGGCGAGGACCACCCCATAGGCCCCCGTGGCCGGAGCGGCCAATCGCGGAGCTGACGGGTGTCTAGTATTCGGAATCGCGGGTCGCGAGGGCCGTGCCCTGGCCCCGCCCCGGCCACACCCCCGCGCGCATCCTCCCGTTGGTAGGTGTAGGCGGGGCCCGGGCGCCGTCGCCCGCCGCTTTTCTGCCGAGTCACAGTGAAGACCTTTTTGAGCTACCCTGGTTAGTAGACCGTGATTTCCTGCTGGTCCTGCCCGGCTGTGAGTCATGTAGCACACTAGGAAGGAGGGGACCTGGAGAAAGTGTTTGTTTCCTGGAAGGTCCCCTGGAAGCCCCAGGCCCCGCGTGAAACGCTGCCGGCTGCCTTTGCTGGACGTGGTGGTGTTTGCATAGCCTAAGCGCGACTGATTTTGAAGTTTCTTCTCAGAGTGCACAGGGTTTCGGAGTGTCTGTGGGACTGGGAGCTAGTTAGCAGACAGTGGCTGCAGTGGAAGAACAGAAAAACAGGGCTCTCCTTAGAGACAGACCTAGGCGGTCATTCACTCATGATTCAGGAGCAGCTGCTGTGTGCCAGGCGCTGGGACACCCTCCAAGACAGGCCAGCCCTGCCAGCCAGGGAGCACTGACAAGGTCTGAGGGAGGGCGGCAACAGGTGGGCAGGCCCACAGCCCTACACTGCACAGGAAGGGTAGCGGGGCACTTGGACAGGCACCCTCTCTGTTGAATCCTTTTGGGTTTTGAATGTGTTTCCTAGTCAGCCTCCCCGTTCACTTTCAGACCTAACCCAAAGTTGGCTTTGTGACTTGCGCGTGGCTGAAGTCACACAGACTGCCTGAGTCTATGCCTGTAACACATCTTTCCCTCCTCCCTCCATTTCCTCACCTGACCACTTGGGTTCACATAATTCCTGCCTCAGCAACTTCATGGGACTGTTTTGAGGACCAGTTCCAGAAGTGAAATTGGAAGTAATGAGACTACTGTGTGCTGACCATTAACTGTGCCAAGCACTGCAGTAAGTTCTTCTCTTGTATAAACTCCTTTAATCTTCTCTACAGCCCTATTTTAGGGATCAAAAAACTGAGGCACCGAACCGTTAAGTTACTTGCTTAGCAGCTACTGAGTTGCTAAGTAGGAGCTTGAACTTAAGCATCTGACTCCAGAGTTCTTAATCTAATCGTGACCCTGGACATTTCCCAGCGCTGTTGAGGTTGTGAAAGTGGCTGTGCCTGGGTACAATACATTGTAGTGAGTTTCCTCACTGGGAGTGGCTCTGTGGTCTCCTGAGAGTGGGAATACTGAGGACGAGGCAAGGAATGGAAACTGCATCTCTGGGCTGGATGCCTTATCTCTCTGGCTCTTTATAACAACAGTCCTTGTGAGGATGGCTGTGAGGAGCAGACATTTTCTTGTCATCCTACTTTATAAATAAGGATGCTGCCTCAGAGAAGTTGAGTGACTTATGCAAGTTCGCACAGCTCAGGATGACAGAAAGTGGTCAGGATCTCTGGCTGCCTCTAGTTCAGGGCGTTGTCTGCCATGGTGGGGAGTGTGGTGCGGAAGGCACCAGAAGTGTGATCTAGGAGCTGGAAAGACGAACTTTAAATGTTAGGCTTGGCGCGTTTCAGCTCCACGTGAGGCTTTGGGCAGGGTGGAGGCGTGAAGTAGCTGGGTGCTGAATGACGCCCAGGTGGGCCAGGAGGGCTCCAGTGGCCAAGCCAGGCTCCTGCATGGCTTTGAGGTGCATGGGGTAGAGTCGCAGGCGTTGAGTTAGTGAACAAAACATAGTGACATCAAGCTTGGAGTGGAAAGAGTGGTGGCGTTGCTGATAGTACCAAGTAGCCATCACACATGGCTTGGCTTTTCTGAGCTTATGTCTTCATCTGTCAAACAGGGGTAGCTGTCCCTCTGACGCTGGCTGTGCACATAGACACACATGGCTGGCAAGAAAGGAACGGAGGGATGAGTGTTCCCTCCTCCGTAGCCTTTAGAAACAGACTCCTGGTAGCCACAAATGGAAACTGAAGAAACAGAGTAGAGCTTACGCGGCTGTGTCAGGGCCAGGTGCTGGAAAGTGTTCTTTCCTCAGACCTTCCTTCCCCATCTGAGGATTTCCCACATTCTAGGCCACCTGTCAAGGCTGAATTTATTTAAACTGTTCTCCCCTCAAGGACAGTGGCTCCTCCCTGAGCAGCCTCCATGCCTTACCCCAACCGCCTCTTTGGCACACCTCCCTGCAAGAGGGCCTGAGCCACCCTACCTTTGTACGCCTCTGGGCCTGCAAAATGGGGGTTGGAATTTGTAGCTAAAGTCTGTGTGAGGCAAAATGGGTTCAAACTCCCAGAGGGGCCAGAATGCAGCCCCTGAATACCAAGAGGCTGGAAGGAGGGTAGTTTTGTTTTAAGGAAGCCAAGGAAGGCTTCCTGGAGGAGGAGATAGCTGAACTAGGCCTTGAAAGATGGTAACTAATAGCATACCCCCAGAGTTTACCATTTAAAAACAGGTGGTATGGTTCCTGTATTACAGAGGACACAGTTTCTATATTATAGAGAGCTGAAGTGATGCCCCCAGAGTCACAGAGCTCCTCAGGGTTGGAGCTGGAACTCACACGGAGGCCTTCTGAGTCCTGAGCCTCATCCACAATGGCTGGGACTTGGCCCTTTGGAGACATAGCTGGAGCTCGCGGGATAGAAAAGGGAAAAGCTCCTGGGGCTTTAGTTCTCAGCTCAAAGGACCTTCAAAGTCGAGGAAGGAGCTGGAAGCCAGAGGGCCAGGCCCCAGGAAGCCGAGGGGTGGCTCAGCCAGGGGAAGTCAGGTGGGCTTCCTGGCTGTGGACCTGGGTCACGTAGGCCAGCCGGTCCCTGGGCCTCAGTTTCCTGTTGCTTCTAGTGTCTGTGGCAGAGGCAGAGATTTTGGTCTCTGGCCCGGCCTTTGCTCCCAGAGTAACAACAGTAACCACAGTGCCAGTGCACACTGACTGAGCATGTGCCGTGGACCCGGCATCGTGCTGAGATTGTCCATGCATCGCCCCTTGTTCTTCTGTTCTGTAAAATGGGCAATACTCTGAAGTCCCTGAATGAGTCCCATCTCATCGAGGCACTGACGGGTTCTGTAACTGGCCCAAGAATATAGAACTGCTGGGGTGTGAGTGCAGGTGCCCAGCTATGGAACTTGTACTGTCTCAAGTCCTGGCCGGTGACCTTAGATAGGTCCTTCCCAGGCCTTCATGTCCCTGTCTTGAGATGACATCTT